ATCTTATGTGAAGAAGCTGTAAGTACATGAATGAAATAAGGATTTAATGAGTTATTAACATACGAGATTCTGTTTTGCTACTTAGATAAACAACAGGGATTTGACCTTCTGGAAGGAACTGGTGTTAAAGTGCCTTACAGAATATTCCTCAAGCAAGTGCTCCAAACCAAATGTGCAGAAATTAAAATGGATTGTGTCTGGACGTACAGCACGGCAGCTTAAACATAGCTACTACAGAATAACACACCTTCCTACAATTCCAGAGACCAGCTCATAACAGGTAACTCCTTCTAAAAATCCACTTCTGATAATGTAGAAGTAATTGATTGTTAACTACCTCAAACTTTCTTATTCCATATAAGGTAACCTCTTGAAGACATGTAACATAAATGTAGTAGGCCTGTCATAGAGGCTGGTCTGTTTTCGTGTTTGTGCTTGAGCCAGTACTGTACCTAAAGAAGTGGCAACCTAATATATGAATGTTGGAGAAAGAACTGATCCTCTGGTGTGCTGTGGGAGCAGAAACGTGTTCTACAGACACTGGGACCTCATTCAAACTAAAATGTGGAGTAAAATTGGTAAAAAGGCAGAGAAAAATCTTGGCTTGCTCCTATCCTAAAAAGCATCAGATAAGAGGAAACGGTTGCCCATTAGAATGACTTTTTTGTTCTCATTCACTTAAACCACTTAAAAGGAAGACAGTTTTCTACAGTTTTACTTGTATAACTGGCTGTTCAGTAGAGTCTAAAAAGTGTTACTCATATTAGTTTTTTTACTCTGTGAACTAGGCTTTATCTAGACTTCAATTCCAAAGGCTCCATATTTTCTCTAACAGCTGTCTTGCTATATGAAAGTCATGCCTTGTTTGGCTCTTGTAGATGGCCCTTCAGCTGACTGTGGTTTTTGGTTTTTTTTTTTTTTTTTTTTTACAGGACTACAATAAAATGAGGAGAAAACTATCCTGTGACCTTGTCAACAGACACATGAATATTTGAGAAACAAAGTCTGAAACGTGATCTTAATAGTGAAGAACTCAACTCATGAAAAGAATATGTAACATTTCAGAGTAAAGATCCTTCCTGCAAATGTGTTCTTTTCATGATGATTACAACAATATTGTGTCAGTTTTCAGTCTCATTTGTTAGACTGTTTACTGTTCAGTGAAATGCCACACTACCAATATGAGGAATTTTAACACCTTATAGTTTGTAGAGCAGCTTGTGTAGTCTAACCTTGGTTTACTATTAACTGTGGGTGCTGAATGATACATTTAATTTTAAAAACCTGGTTCACTTTCCAAAGATTAAGTGACACTAGGAAAATGCCATGTGCAGTAGCACAGTGCTGCAGTGTCTCAGTCAAACTAAAGACTAATCCCGCTCAATATCGATGACAATAGCAAATGCCTGTCAGTCCACCTGACATGCTGTTTGGGCAGTGTCACGCGTCTGCATGTTCCTGCTGGGCAGGGCACTGGCCTTCTACCACAGACACATTAAAAACTAGGCTATGTGGTACCCATCAAACATGTCAAGTAGGTATAGCAGCAGCAAAGAGAAGCAATATTTTGTTGCCTTGTAAAGGGTAGTCCCTAAGACAGCATCAGTAACTTCAGTATTGTGTAAGAGGTGTAGTTTGCTGAAATAACAAGTTACTCCATAGAGTATAAAAACTTCACGATACCTAATGAAAGCTGAGGGAAAGTACTGGGTCACCTGCCCCGAACTGGACATCAGTTTTCCAGAGTCTCACTGTACAAGAGGTAAATGCTGATGCTGAGCAGGCATTTTTATAGGCACGGTAGGAGCAGGCCTAAGGCCCCATCTTGGCCTATATGTAGGAGCAATCTAGTTGAGAAACACTGAAGATTGCTTCACCTCTGATCTCTTTAATGGTCATCTTCATAAAACACAACTTTTTTCTGAAGACCAGATCGGTACTTGAGGTGTATCATGCTTCTGGTGCGAATAAGGAAGTCAGTAATAAGAATGTATTGTTGTATGTAAGACGAATAGAAGTGTTGAGGGAATGATGCTAATGACCTCTTGAATTCTGGTCACTGCAGAGCAGAGGCCATTAGTGATGGGCTGTTAATAACTGATGGCCATATGAACTGGCTTAGCAGAGAAGAAGAGATCAGAAAGTTCACAGTACAGTGTGGGCTTAGACACTAGCCAGCAAACCCTTTCCCCTTTATGCTAGTAGCTGAGGGGAAACCATTCTTTGCCTATCTCCAACTAGTTAAACCTTTCACAGAAGATGTCATACCAAAGCTCTACACTGGACAAATCAAGCTGCCTCATGAACTCATGGGAGCGACTGCATTGCATAACACGTAATTGGATTTTGCATCTGGCAGTGCTATCTGTGCATGGTGCTGGCCTCTGAAAAGCCTACAAGGGTTTAGGACACAAGTGTGGTTGGCCTACTGGGAGAGATGGAGTAGATGCAATGTGCAATTCTAATGGTATTGTCATGTATCAATAATATGTACCTTTCAATTAAACATTGAAATGTGTTTAACTGAGTAACTTTTTTCTCATTTGTTATAAAACATTGTAGTAGGAAGCCTATGAAGTGACTTAAATCTGAACAGTACCTGGAAAACTTCCGGGTGGGAGGTAAGAGATTATGGAAACTTTTCCATTGTCTTTTTGTTTTGTTTTTAAGAAATTGAGGCTGCATGGAAAAGGCTAGAGGACCAACAGGAAAAACTCGAGGTGCTTGATTAAAGTTATTTCAATTTGGTTCACGATTACTCTGAATCCCTTTGAGATGTACTTTCAGAGTTCAGATGTCATGATTGAAAAGACTGACTCATAGCTTAGACTGTTCAAATTTGACTTCAATTCTCTTCCATTATTTATCTACTAATATATATCACCTGTTTCTATATATTGCAGTAAATGTATGAATGATGCTTGCTTAAGAGAATCTGACACTCAGATTTCTAATCTCAAGATCTGAGGACCCCAGTCTGGCTAGGTGTAAGTTTAGCTATAGATTTCTGTGCCTAACAATGACTCAGAGGTGCTGTGGTCCTTTTGATAAAGAAAGCAATGCTGTGGCATTACTCTAAGCTCATCTTGAACCAGATACATGAAAACAATGCCAAGTGGACTGTCCTCCACTGCCCTCCAATAGCAGAGCAGCACTCATTTGAATGAGTGCACAGGATTATTTCCTATAGAGTGGGTTGCTCTAGACACTATCACATACCCAAATTTATACATCTGTCAAATACCTGTTACTGTTTGTCTAAGAAGCAAGGGATTGAACCCAGTAAGGCACAAACCGCTGTTTGTTAAAGTATAGAGTAAGAACTGAGTAGATAGTGATTAAGGAAAGTCATAGTATCAATACCTTTTGATTTTCATCTAGATTCTTCCAAAATTCGAGGTCTGTAACTTACAGTAAACACTAGAAGTAGCTAACCAAGTAGTTCAAACCTTTCCTCTTAAAACAATTCAGAGCTGTGATGTCTGAATACATACTCCACAGTTGTCCTCCTTCCTTGACATCAGTCTTAGACTTAGCTGTAGGATGAGTTTCATGCTACTTCATAAAGCAGAAAATATGGGAATAAAGTTTAGCTTTCAAAGCGCATATAGTAAAGTCACGCACTGAACTGTCAGATGCTATTCTAAACTTCTGCTATAAGCAAGATGTACAAAACCGTCCCATGTAAACCAACTGCTGTAACAAAAAATGCTATTTCACTGGGTAGTACTGCAGCATTTTGATGCAACTTTAACTATTTTCTATCTTCCCTCTGTCTTCAGTTACTTTTGCAGCGGTTTTGTTCATTTCTTAACTATACCATCCACCTCCTATAGTAGGATCATGATGAAGATACAAAACTTCATAGCCGTAAATCAGCACTTGATACCACAGTACTTGCCTTTGTAGGGTACAGCAAGTTCTCTAGAACCCAAGCACAGTGTCTGGACTTTACATTCTGTAAAGATGACACGGGTAGAAGGAGCACACTTGCGTATTTTAGGAGTACTTGATGCTTGCTTGCTCATACAACAAGAAAGCATTGCATATAATTACAATGGAAGCGTTCTTCCTCAGCTATTGCTTTATTTTTGCCATATGCCAGCTGAAATAATAATGCAATTATAGAAATAAGACTCAGCAGTATGATGGACAGCTGCTGGCAATTTATCTGCAGTGAGACTTCTGGTTAGAACTTAAGTATAGGCAGTACTTTCAGAGTTCAGAATACAATAGGACTTGGCAATCATGTTTTCTTCCCCTGTTAGTCTGTTTGACACAGCATTCATCCTATATAATCCTGTGGTTGGAGTGCTTCTCAGCTGCATCCTTAAAAATAAGCAGAAAATTTCTGATACATAATTGGCACATGCAAAATATTATATCATACAATAGCTAAATTTAAAATGTGTCTATTAAATTTAAAACTATCTACAAAAATCCACAGCTTTTTAGATACACTATCAGAAATTTGTGCTATATGTTGGTAATGAATAGATACCATTTCCTACTTAGGGACTTCCTTCGAAAAGTCATTATATGATCTTACTTTCAAAATTTTAAATATTTGTACTGAAAGGTTGTATAAACATGTATTACACGAACACATAAAATTATTTATATCCAGATTAACATTTCAGTTTGCTAGTATCACTTACCAGGGAGCAAGTATTAATCGTTAGTGCTATACCTGACAGCACAGTAGATTGTTAAACCTTATCTGAGGCAAGATACGGTAGTTTGTTTTAAACCACTATTTTAGACTGACAATTAATTAGTTCTCAGAGGGCTGCTACAGAGGGAAAGTGTAGCTGTAGTCGTTGTAATACCCCTCCTGTTGCAATTTAAGAGAAAAATATTAAATATCTTGCTTACGAGATTTATTCTTTAACAGTGAATAGAATATTATTGCATGAAGACAAGTGGCATATTCATAAGTGACTAGTTTTCTACGGTGTTGCTAAAAAAAAAAACAACCCAGAACCAACATTCTGCTTGCTGTTACTTTTTTGTGTACACCTTTCTCTGTAGTTTGTCCCTTAGTATTAGAAAATTATCACAGCTTATAAATCAGCTGGTAACACTTTGTCTTCATTCTACTGGAAGAAATCTTCTCTCTTTTGACTGAAGTAATTACTTGACAGCAATCTGCTGAAGAGATCACTGAAGTCTGCACCAGTTTCCATGATTCCAGTCTTTAAGTGTAATGTGTAATTCCTTTCAAGGAACACAGATACAAACAGTTTACTTTTCAAGACTAGAAAAGTCTGGTCCTCCTTTGCTGTAATTTCCAGAAATTTCTGCACCGCTGAAGTCAAATCCAGGGTTCTGATGGAAATAAGAGAAAAGTTCAGTAGATAGATTATTCTTAATAAAAATGTTTAAAAAAAACCCCCAACCAAACAACCAGAACACCAAAAAGGCCAAAGCTGTTTCTGTTAATATTCTGCCATTGTAACAAGGACATACAACGATCAACTTGTCATCCATCTGTCATGTCACTGAAATTCTTGGAAAATGCATCAACAAATAAACCTTGAATTGTCATAGTTTGGTTGCCTGCTGCTGAGGTGACTTTGTAATGCTGTTCTCAATTTGGCAAGCAGTTAGATCTCCCAGTAAGGAAATATTAATGAAAGTTTAAGAAAGATTTCTGGCTTCTGGTGTTCCTTGAAATTCCTACTTGAAAATATAAGTACCTGCCATACTGGATAACAAGTTTCATAAAAATTATGTTCTTTGTTGCAGCATGTAGTGTGCTGATTCAGCTGTTAAGTAGGAAGTTGTAATTCTATAGCTCTGCAGACATGCATAGGAATACTTGCTTGCTGAAGGTGTACCAAAACAATTTAAGCAATTTTAGTAAAAGGGCAAGGAAAATATTTCCCAGCTAACTATTCTACATCATCTGATGTTATAAACAAACTTACTCAATAGAGCTTGATGTTACAAGTTGTAAATATGGCTATGTCATAATTCTAGATAATAACTGAAATTGTCTGTAGCCTAACTTGAATGAAAAGTTGTTAGTGTTATGCAACAAACCCTAAAACAGCAATACCTTCCACAAACTCAACTTATCACAAAACTTTCAGACAGAATAACCTCTGAAAAGGACACCGATAAAGCCTCCTGAGTGTTCTATATATACACTGAACTACAGTATATGCTTCCATGGCATGGGACAGCAGAACAATTTTGCTCAGCTTTCATGGCCATAACTTCTGTATGCAAACACAACATGTAAGAAGTAATGACGGTCCTTCAACTTGCCTCTCTTTGGAATCGCTCCAGTGTAAGTTTCCTTTGCATCTGGTCCTGTACCCAAGGATCAGCAGCATATTCATTTTCTAACAGAGATGTCCAACAATTTCCAGCATCTCTATTTGTCTTCATTAGAACAATTCGAATGAGCTTCCTGTCTTCTGTTGAGTGAAGAGACACATAAAACAACTGTTAAATTCAGTCCTACGTGCTAGTCTTTTCTCTCGTTTTGGTGAATTCACCATTAACAAGCACAGGATTCTTGTGGTAAAGTAATTTAAATTCTTAACCCTGTTGCCAATGCCAACAGGGTTATTGACAACTAAATAAACATTAACAAGAAACAGAAAGGCTGAAGCAAAGATAGAGTCATCTCTCCCCTTTCTGGCCTGGAAAATGCTGAAGCTGTTTTAAGGGAGTAAAACACAGTTAATAAGTACTTCTGCTGCAGACATAAATTAACCTTTTACAGGGGTTCACAACAGAGGAAAGATTTAAGCTATAAATACATACGCCTCAGCTAAGGCAATAATGAAGGATCTGAGATCAGGCTTTACAGAACGTTATTACCAATAAAAGCCAGAACTATGTTTTAGCAACATATGGAGGTCTAATCAATGTACTTAAACACTGACAGTATGCCTATAGACCATATAGGGGAAGTACATTTAAAAGTTAATATGTAGGATGTTTAGTTCTACTTAATTGAATAAACAGCATTATAAAGTGTATTTTGAAGATTATTTGCATACTGGAAAAGAATGGGCTTCACTTCACAACATTTGTTTACACTTCTAGTTTTCATGTTTAAGTTACTAAATTATTAATCAATATTTATAATAACTACTGAATGTAAAACAAAATCCATCATAGGAAAACATTGAGAGGCACAGTCCACAAATACGATTGCTAAAACCCAAAATATTCAGAACACTTCACAATATTTATGATGTAATGATCAGAGATTTTTTTTTGCTCATTATCTGTAGGTACCTTAGTGTGACTTTTAGATTGCTTTTTGATTCTCTTGGACGGTAGGTTTTGTCACCTATCCCAAAAATATAATGCGTAAGAGAAGGAGAAAAACCAAGGTAAGTAATAATTACGGAGAAGCACAGACCATATAACTGTATTGCAATTGTCTAGCTTTAATGAGGGTTTGCAAAAAACTTCTCACTGTATGGAAGTGTTTGTAATCCATTGACTACTGCCTTCCAAGTTACAACATTTTTCCATTAACCTTAATCTCTAGGGCTTTTGTCCTACATCAGCTCCTTAGTCTGGCCATAATGATTGTCCTCTTTACAAAGCTAAGTAACCTTTCCCATTAAAAAAAAGGGGGGTAAACTCTTCTGCAGCATATTTTGAGAAGTTCTACCGCCCGTGTAATGTCATTGCAGGTGTAAGTTATTACCTAATGTCCATGTTCCTTCATCAGTTATCGTAGAGTCAAAAAGTTTGCCCTGCAAAAGACATGTACAATATTACAAAACAGGAAAACCTGTTCAGTATCTGCTTCGTATTGAATTGTGAAGTTTTACGCAAAACTTAACCTTCTTCTTTTCTACTGGTAACAAATAGGGTGATCTGGCTCCATAAACACCGACTTGCACACAGACGATCAAAGAATCATCTTTTGTTACAATTATCTTTCTTTTAATTAAAGCCTTTAATGTTGTAAAAATACCTGTCACCATTTCAGTATCTCAATTCATTGAAAGGGGTTGTCTTTCTCAGAGGGTAATGCTATTTTTAATAGGCTCGCCAGGAAAATGCCAAGGGAAGGTACAGCGACGGTGCAACGTATGTATATTACGCTAGGAAGAACTGTTCATTACTAGCGTGAACCTGCCTCTTGATCTGGGGGTTTTTTTGGCTTTCAGCAGTGAGCGAAAGCATGCGCTCGAACACCGCCCAAATCCCTACGAAAGAATGCAAACCCACGTCAATTCGCTGTCTTTCTTTTTCCTGTCGACGGTGCAGTTCGACGGAGCTGCTGCTAATAAACGTCACTCTTCACTTATCAGACTCCGGACACTTCATGAGGAAACATAAAGGGAAGCGCGGCAGAAAGCTACGCTAACCCCGCGGGCCCGCGGC